ATTCCATATAATTGAGGTTGGTTGCAGTGTTGTTTTTGCTTACTTATGCCTTCATATTCATTTTCACAGGGCATCTGAGAGTTAAAAACCCTTTGCATTTGGAACAGACACATGTTGCTTTAAATAATTTTAATCTAACTAAAGTGTTCCAGATGTGTTGGGACTTCAGCTCTGGATCTCTGAGCCTATAGCCCTGTGGCTGAAATCTTCCAACCTTCTATCTAAAGGTTGTCAACCTGGAGAAAATGGATCCAATAGAAAAGGCCCTGAAGTATTAGGAGAAATCAATCCCAGCTTCTTTCCACAGCTTTGGTAATTTCTATGCCTTTATTTTTCTAAACAAGCATTTCAGGGAAGCTTGAATAGCTCAATCTATCTTTAACACATGTTATTTCCATTTGGCTTCCTGCAAGATGGATTAAGCTGTGTGCTCATAGTTTAAATGGATTGTGGAAAACCTACCAGGTTGATTTTGGTTTTGTATTTCACAGCACACACAGACTTGTTTGTGTGTGTCAAACAGATTACAAAACTGTTTTCTGTTCCAATTTTCCAAAGATCTGGATTTCTTTGGGAAAACCCTGAAAAAATATCTTCTTCTTTAGTAGAGATTATTTTATGAAATCATAGAAGGCAAAGTTGCAAAGGATCTTGCAGATCACATGATGAACCTCTGCTCACTGCAGGAATCCACTATTCCAGCATCCTCTACAGAAAATGCTGGAACGAGAGAAAACAATTACTTATTCCTATGCATTTATGAAGCTTAGTCTAGCCCAGTGGTTCTCAACCTGTGGGTCGGGACCCCATTTGGGGTCGAACGACCATTTCACGGGGGTCGCCAAACAACGCAGTCCACCATTTTTTCCCCCTTTTCCTTAGCTGTGCTACTCCCTTTTATTCTATTGGCTTTTGAAAGACAATAGAATAGACTCTCTTGAACAGAGTCTAATTCTATTGGCTTTCAAAAGCCAATAGGAATTGTCCAGGCTGTCTCTGCCCTGCTGAGCCCGCCAAAAGTCCCATTCTGCAAACGGTGCTGCACCAGTTGAGTAGTCCTGGACTTACGACTGGTTGAGTAGTCCTTGACTTACGACCGGTTGGGGGTCGCGGCATTAAAAAGGTTGAGAACCACTGGTGTAGCCCATGATTTCTTGGCTCTCTCATTCTCCTTTTTTCACTAGATTGCAGATTATGAAGTTATCAAATATATGCATTTCTCTTGCAAGGCATTGTTTTCTCAGCTTCCTTAACAGTACATATATCTAAAAGCCAATGAGGAATTATTTATATGGTAGTGAGAATCTACAAGGAAGTGAGGTTTTATTTGTTAGGGTTTTTTTTAAAAATTTTGCTTTTAGTATTGTTGACATAATAAATTGATCTATATACATTCTTTCCCAAACATCTGAATTCTGCACACATATGATTTTTTTGACAAATATATTTAATCTAACTATTTTGGCTTTGTTCCCGACAAACTTCTGGAGTAATTTGTGCCTTCTTTTGATGACATGCTTTCTACATGTTCTAGGATCTATTTAAACCATTATTTCACAGGAATGGATGTTTTTAAGAGAGAAAAAGGACATCCCCACCCTACAAAATAAAACATTTTTATGCAAAACAAGGATGAAGGACATCTGATCTCCAAGCAAAAATCGTATTTAGAGGCATCAGAAATAGAACTACTAGTCAAGTGATGGAAAAGAAGCCAAGTCTTTTTTGAAGGTGGGAGCTAAATTAAAATTGGAACTATGTATGAATGACTGTCATTTAACTGGATCAAGAATTTTCAGACAAAATATTAAAAAAGACTAAAATTATCTATTTTAAAAGAAATATAATTGCTACATTTTTAAACATCTCATTTCATCTTAAAAGTACACTTTCTATTTCTATTCATTTATATTTTTGCAAATGGTTAAGGGTAGCCCTTTTTCACGATGGACCCAATCCTCATGAAAATTGATTGTGTCCGTTCCTTTCCTTCTACTGAAATTCTGATTGCAGTGCTGACTCAAAACACTATGCATTACCTCCAGCCAACCCCAATCTCTATCTAGCTTTGATTGCTGCAGCATCTTAATTTCCTTCTTCATTTTTTAAAAGTTCTTTCATCTGACTGAAGGAGAGAAGGAAAAGGGAAAATGGAACTGACAGACATTTTGGAGCAGAAAATAGTATTATATTTGCAAGACTGGAGATTTGCACATGAAGAAAATGTCAAGTGTCATAATTCTGATGTTTCGGAGAATCAATGATGATACGATAGTGGTGATTTAGAATGGTTCTTGAGTTCAGTTGACCTGGAATAGTCTTTCTGCCCATGTGAAACATCAGTAAGGAGGCCCAAACAATTGAGAATACATCTTTTCAGTGGAGTTTGCATCTCTTTGCAGCTGGACTTTTCACAATGAAAGAGATTGCTAAGTGAAATCTGTTTCACAAATTCCACTGAGTCTAGTTGGAGATGTATAATATTTTGAGACCTGATGAGCTGTATAAGAAGTACAATGCTAGCTTTCCTGTTTTGCTTATCTAGAGTATTCTTGTCCAAGGGAACAAAGTGTAAACTGAACTTAGTAACATCAGTAAAACATTCTTTTACAGTTTGCATGTTTGATCATTGTATGCATCTATATAAGTATGCATAAGTTTATTTATTGGCATCTTTCCTCTGGGAGCAAAAGACAATGAACATTGAACTGCATCTTCCAACTTTTCCCCACCACACCCCTGAGAGGTAGGCTAACTTGAGAGAGTGTGGACTGATGCATATAGCACTGTGTGTGTGGAAAGAAGGGGGGAGGGGAGAAGGGGAGAGAGAGACTGTTCTGCCTTGATATGCTCAAAAATCTGTTCCCTTGAAGGTTACAATCTATTAAAAAGCCAAAGATGTAGCTTGAAATAACATTTCCTTATTTTTCAATTTCTGTATATATTTGAGAAAAGATATTGAGTAGTTTGAAGACTGGTCTTATTTTCTTCAGAAATGTCCCCACTTTGAATTGGTCTTGAATGCAAGCCATGATTATTTCCCACTGAATGAACAGGAATTAAGTTTCCATTTGTTATATGAAATTATCCAGCCTCAATGTGTCAATATTGTTTTTGTATTCAGTGTTGGATCTATAAAGTCTTTACATTCCTCCATCCATGATGCTGATGCAGAGCTGTCTGCAAGTATCTTAATATATTACAGTTATTTCATATTGAAAAAATTGTAGAAAGATTACCTTTTTATTTAGCTGAGGACAAATCTTTCACAAATTTGTTAGTAGCTAAACTAGAATTTCCTGATCTCATTTTTGTATGGATATTTTGTTACTTACCAATATTTTGGTAAGTATCATCAATGTGTGCATTTGGGCTTTTAGATATTTTTAAACTGACAATCTCATGGTTGGCATCCATGAATCTTAAGCCTGATTTTTATGCTACTCAGTTGCAAATTGTTGACTAGCTAGGAAACTTGAGAGAGGAAGGATATGCCCCTGAGCTGGTCATGTCTTTCAATTTAGAAGCCTGAGGACAGGATCTTTCAGATGATCCTGATATTTGCAAGCCGTCATGGGAGTCATTTTGGCTAAGCAGTAGGAGAAACAATAAGTGCTTTGGATGTATTTAAAATCCAAGTATGTTCAAAGCTGTGAAAATAAATTGGACCTGGACTCATTTCTCCATTTGGATGACACTATTAAATTGATTAAATCGATCCTGGGAAATAATCTACTGAAAAGCTTGCTGTGAAATAAGCATTTTTTCTTAAATAGCTCTTTCAATGCCCATGATAAGCTGCTTGGGAAAACTCCAGTCTCATGCTCCACCCCTCCAATTGTGCATACAGCACTTAATGAGAATATGGGGAGTTGAATGTCTCCGAGACACTAGGACAATATTTGCCACAGCAGACTAATTTAAGGAGTTTCCATCATGTGTGAAACATACAGTATACAGCCTTGTCATCCAATAGAAAAGAATCACCACAGGACTTAGAGAATTCTCATTGCTTCTCACAGCAATCTCTAGCAAGACTGATGTCCACCTAATGATAGGATTGATCTGGTGGTTGCTGAACCATCTCTTGGTTTCAGTTACAGATCTCAGGCACTCGGTAGAGTCCGACATCCTCTGATTCCCTGCAAGTTATCTGAAAGAAGGAGGAGGAGAAGTCTGGCCAGTTCTCCAGATTTCAATTCACTAATCAAATGGCTGCAGATCATAAGCTGACAGAAAACCTTAGATAATATATTCAACAGTGCATCTGTGAAAAGCCCAGACTAAATTCCTATAAAAAAAGAACAACAATAAATGCAGAATAAAAAAGTTAGCCCATTCTCATTTCCAAGGAATTCCCCTTCCACCCACTAGTCTGACTCAGATACCTCCTTAAATTTCCTAAATCTTTAAATTCGAGTGAGTTAGAGGGAGAATCAAAGTATCAAATGCTTTATGCATCTAAAGTACCGCTGTGATGAGTAAAAAGTAAAATGTGTTGGCTCCTTTTAAAATCCTGGCTTAACAGACCAAGGAACAATTGTTTCCCTGTTTTGTTTTGTTTTATTATTTACAAACGTGTTGCCCTGAAGGCAGCTAAGGGGACTTTCAGATGGCGACGAATCAATTATGCATTGTTTTTATCTGTAATCTTGCTGCTGCTGAACTGCGAGAGCAACCTACGCTTCCTAAAAAAGATAGGAAAGCCGCTCAGAGAGCCGAATTTCAAATAAATCTAAACGGAGAGCCAAAGCGAGCGTGTGATTTCGAGAGTAGGAATCCTTGGAGGAATGTGATACTAATCATGGGGCCGACAACACTCCGGGGGGCGGGGGGGGGGATGAGGACTGACCGGGCGTCTCGCCCCTCAGCCTTACCTCGAGTTCCACAAAAATCAAAAGAACTCGGCCGCGGATTGGAGGAGCGAGCTCTCTTCGCCTCCTTCCGGGGCTTTTTCTCTGCTTCGCTCGGGCTTCGAGAAAAAGAGGAATTCTCCAGGGTGCTGAATCAGTTAAGCGCGGGCAGGCTTGCTTCTGCTCCGCGCAAGCCTTTCTCCCTCTCTCCTTCCCCGCCCCAGCCAGCTGAAGAGGGCGTCCTGCTACGAGGCAGAAGGAGGGAGGGTCGCACTCTCTCATGCCTCCAAGTGGTTGGCAGCCCTGCGGCCTCACTTCGCTTTCTTTTCGCCGCCGCGTTGTATTATAGATGAGGAGGAGCTGAAAAATGCAGATCTGGCATCACACGCACACACGAACACGCACCCACCGGAATAATTCCACGAGCAGCCAGCCCATCGGATTCCCCTCTTCTCGAGGCTGAGAGATACTAAAGCAGAGCACCGCTTAATTGGTTGTCTGCAGCTTGCCCACAGACCGGTCCCTTTAGACTGTCCACATCCTCCTTTGCTTAGCTTTATTCCCGTTATTGAGCCCACGAATATTGCCTTGCACTCCTTGTCCGAAAAAAAGCCATGAAGACAGGCACTGTTCCATGGTGCAAGACAGCTGGCCTCTTTTTACTGGGGTTCCTTCGCTTTGCCTCTGCATCTCAAAAGACCATCTATACCAATCATTTTTTCGTTGAGTTTCACAAAGCGGGAGAAGCAGAAGCCAAGCAACTTGCTGCAGAATACGGCTTTAATGGGGTCAGGAAGGTAAGATCCCCCATTCTCCTCTCGTTCTTCCTTTTTTTCTCTCTCTCTCCTCCTCAGACCACTTAGTTCTGCATGATGTTTATGAATTTGTTCTGCAAAGTTGGCATGATCTGTGTCTGCATTTTAGTGCTCAGGAAGAGGATTAAAGGAAAAGAGTTCTTTGAAACTCTTGTGAGAGGTTGATTGTTCCTAATCTAAATGGCTCTTCTTATATATTTTTAGCACAGTTTTCTTTTCTTTTCTTTTTCTTTTCGGAGGAGTTGGCTATCTACCTATGTCTCTGCTTGAAGCTACAACAGTTCACATGATTCATTCTTTGAAGCTCACACTTTGATCATGTCCACTAAGTTAAGATCAATGCAGAGACCCTCATGGGTGATTCTTCTGTTTCTTTGACTTCTAAGGTTTAAAAAGTCAATGTGCAAAAACTCCATGGCACAATATTTTAAAATTAGATACTTTGTTTTTTTAACCAAACTAATTTGAACTAAAAGGTATTTTCTCTACTGATTAGTTATTGTGCCAGTGGATCCATACTGTATAGATACAGCCCACCTATTCACCAGTCGTCTTCTCCATTTGCAACAACAAGGGGTCAGTTGCAATAGTGATTATGGATGGCCAGAACTACTCTCTTAATTCAAGAACCTTTCAGAGCTTTCATTTGGGAATCTCACAACAAGCCTACCTTTAGTTTTTTTTTGTTTGTTTGTTTCAAACAATTTCTGTCCTGTAATCTCTTGGAAGTAGAGAACATGTGTCTGTAACAACTAATTAATGTTCCTTAATTGTAATCACATATCCATGCACACTAAAAATAGAGTGTGGGTAATATAACATGCCAAGTTTATACATGAAGTTGAAAAAAACTATAGTGTCTAACAGCGGGGTGGGGGGAGAAATTGGAAGACAAGATAAGTTGCTTATGGTATCATTGCATATTAGTCACAAATGACTCCAACGTGCCTTAAAAACCTTTCCTTTCTGTACCTGAGAATGAAAACAAGCAGTGACTCCATGTCAAGAAAGAAATGAATTCCATTTAATTAAACAACAATAACAGAATGTTTGGTCTTACATAATGCTTCTACGGTATTGGCAAAATCCTTCTATATATATGCTGCAAGAACCCAGCAAAGGTGTATCTAGTATAAACCAATTTCATCACATTATCTCCCCCCACCAGTGATTATGCAAGAAGGACCTGAAATAACTTCTACTGCAGGCAATGGGCTTCTCCCTGTTTACTTTCATAGGACTTAGCTCCCAAAAGCATGTCTGGAGAGTGAGAAATTACACACACAAAAAAAAAAGAAAGAAAGAAAGAAAGAAAGAAAGAAAGAAAGAAAGAAAGAAAGAAAGAAAAGAGCATCGATAATGCCTGCCTAACTTAAGATTTTATTTAGCCAGCATAGATTTAGTCAGATAGGAAGACATTAAAAGTGAAGAAAAAAACAAACAAAACTCTGGTTTAATTCCATGACTGTCTGATAGATTTGGCATTTCTGAAATATCCTGTTTGACGAGGCAGAGGCATTGTCAGAATTCTGGGGAAGAGTACTTATGCACAAATATCTATTTCTAACCCAAGCTTCTTTGGTAAAGAAGTTTAGTTCTTAATACTCTTTTTGATTTCTTACCAGACTCCTACTCCTCCACTCGTTTTTTTCCCCTTCTTGATTTTGAGAGATGGCTTTTTGCTAGGTCTACTTTATTCTTATTTTCTTCCATCATGTGATCACTTCTTTTCTGCTCATCAAATAAAAAAATGTAGGATCAGGGCAGAAATGTTCATGAAAAAGATACATAGTATTCAGTAATTTGGGTATTAAATCCAGATGATGCCTGTGCACATATAAAAAGGGTGTAACCTCAAAATAACACCATTTTCCCCCCATGCCTTACTACAAGGATCTGTGTGTGAGTTCATTTCCTTCTATTGTTACTTGTAGGAGCTTATGTAAGCATCATTTCCTCTTCCTAAAAGGAATGAAACAAGATGATTTATTTTTATACACAACTTAGGCTGCAAATTCCACATAGAATAAGCTCTGCTAAACTTTAATTTTGAGTAGGTATATGCAAGTTGTATATTAACCAACAAGGTTTAAAACAAACCAAGTACCACCACCACTACCAGAACTGGCTAGCAAACTCATAATGAAACACTGTATGACTGATCTTAGCAACACTTTTCTTATAACCGTTGGAATGCAATAGCAACCTTTATAATGCTTACTGAATTGAGTGACTCTTACCTTTAGTTGATGAGTACAGAATCAAAGGCCTGCTTTCCTACTGTTCCCGCACATGAGCAACAAGAAAATTAAAGACTTAGCCTATATGAAAACTATATCAATGAATGATGGAGGTTTTTTCTATTGCCTTCCTCCCCCTCATTGCATATCATTTTTCAGGGAAGGAAAAACAACCACTCCATTATTTATAAGACATATCTTTCATTTTCCATCGATTCCAGCTCTGCGCAAGATGATATTCAGCAGTAAGTCCTTGGTTTCTCCTTTCCATTGACAGCAGTTCAGATGTTCTTCCTAAGCTGCCTTGCTCTCTGGGAACATTTCTATGAAGTTCTAACAGAGACTTCCAACAGTCAATGTGATTAGGATTATTGTTAAAGAAAACTCTCCTGACAGGATGATTTGCCCATCAAGTACAAATTTAACTGAGTTATTTTGCTTTCTTTATACTCATCATCATGATGGGAGTTTGTAGTGGAGAGGCAGCAGGAGGAATCCAAGCTATTTACGAAATTGCCTGTAATTTAGTGATTCTGTTTCTCATTTTACATTATGCTGATTTTAATGGGAATGAGTGAAGACTTGAGATGTAAGAGAAACTCCGAAAATAAAAATAATAAATTCCTTGGAAAAAGGAGAATATGAGTTAAATTTCAGTTCATAATTCCTTCTAGAAGAAGTTATGCTAGATGAATAATTTGCAACTTTGATCTCAATTGTGGTGGGTTTTCTTTTCAAATTCATGCTTGTTTGGAAGTTTTTAAATGGCCTCCCATATAAGTAGCATTGGGTTGCTCCTAGCACAGTGTTTGTTGTCAATGAAAGAACAGTGTGTGCTATTTTTCCTTCTGCGTGCTAAAAACTAGAGGGAGCTAGCTTATTTTTTCCCCCTGAAGTTCTCCCAACCCCCTACCATATAATTATCCATTCTTAACATGAGAGACAAATTGTTTCTAATAGTATTTACTCCTACAGGGTTATTTTTTTGGGTGGGGGACTTCTCATTATTTTAGAATAATTCTTTCGCATGTAAATATATAGTGCTAGCATGTGCAGACTTTACAACTCAACACCTGTAGGCCTACAGGAAAATGGTTACATAATTAATGATGCTTTTTTTATGTATGCATTAACTATCTGGATTTCAGCTCATCTGAAAAACTGAAGGTAGATGGTAGATATTATTTATTATAAAGAGGGTGGAATCATCACCATTAAAACAACACTGACAAAACCTTATCATGTGATGAAATTGGGGAACTATTAAGTTCAGTGAGAAAATGAAGAACACAATAATAAAAACCAACAACAAAGGATGAAATGGTTACAACACAAACCTATTCAACTCCTTTAATCCATCACCAAGTTAATATCACCTTTGCATTTCCAAAGAGATGGCTTTTTCTTATATAAAGGGGAGCTGTTCCTGTAGCTGCTTGTTGGAATAAATATCCAGAGCATTAACCAATTTTCAGAATGTCAAATGCTACAGTTTTCAGAGTGTCAAGAGCTGGACTGGAGTAGGTCTTTCTGTGACATGCCATGGGCTACTCTTGAAAACCTGGGAGAAGGTGAGCAGGACCAGGATAAAAACCACATTTGCTTGAATTTAATTGATTAAATAATATGTTTAAATGTAATACCAAGAAAAGACAAGTAATTGGAATTAATACAGTTGCTTTCTATATATATAATTATTTTCCCCATCTGTCACATTCAAAATTATACACCTGGGCAATATATGGTAGGAATCTGAGGAAGGTGTGAGGAGACTACTATAGACTAGGGTTACAAGTTGCATAACCCAAATCTGTATCTGAACAACAGTTTTTACAACATGACCCAGTGCTTGCTGGAATATGTGGAAAGTCACAAAGAAGAAGACAGCCATATGCTATCCAATGCATTTCCCTGACTTCTTCATCTGGAGCACATTAGTGAGGCTTCACCCAGTTTTACTTCCAGATTTGCCAGTGTGAATTGGGACTTAAAAAAAATCAGGCTTTGAAATTGCTGCTGAAGCCAATATATTCAACTTTCAAGGACCACAATAAACACATCCCTCCTTTGGACATTTTGTCTATTGTACAAGAAAGAAAATGCTGCTTTTTCCCCACAATAAACCGCTCCAAACTGTGGTTCTTGGAAAACATTTGTGTGACTAAATGCTACTTCACTGATAATGGTCTATTCTTGGATGAAATACTGTATAGTCAACTAGAGTGATTTCATACAGCCACACTTTCCATGGCCCAAACCTTTCTAGAGCAATTTGCAAGGCTCTATAGCAATTCTCATGGAAACTATCCTCACAGTGTGAGAACTTTTCACAGCTTGCTTTCAGTACAGAAGGGCAGAAATCATCAGCCAGCTATCCCTCCTGTCCCTCCATTCTAATTTTGCACAGCATTTGTCACTTTAAATAGCCAAATCTACCTGAGGGCCTTGCGCACTTTAAAAAACTGGTGACAAGATGCTATGGTGCCTTAGTTTCAGCGTAACAGCATAAAAGAGTAACAGAGTTGGAAGGGACCATCTAGTCTAACTCCTTGTTCAGGCAGGAAAGCTTATACCATTTTAGACAAATGGTTATCCAATCTTTTTTAAAAAAACCTTCAGCATTTGAGCATACACATCTTCTGAAGGCAAGTTGTTCCAGTGATTAATTGTTTTCACTGTCAGAGGTGAGGAGGATCCCAAGAAATCAGGTGAACCCAGAGTCCTCATCAGTGAAAACCAGCTCCCACCAAGATCCAGATCTTTAGCAACAGAAGGCATTCACAATGATTCTTCTGGAACAAGTGTTGTGTTGAAAATTAATAGACTCCATTATTCAATAGTGAAGTTGCATGCAACCATATTGACATAGAATCAATCACAAATAGTTCAAATAGGAAGGGTCTTGAGCTGGTCAGTAAATTCCATTGCCAATCAAAGCATTTGTGAAATTCTCCATTTTTACCGGGATGGAAAAAAAATGGAATGACTACTAGATGGCATCAAAGAATTTGTGTTTTCTGTATCATTTTGCTACCATTTAGTGGTCATCTGGATTTTTGTAGCCCTAGATTGACTGCTTATGCACATCAGATTGAGACAGGTTATGCCAGCAATTCTTAAATTCTTCAATATGGCAATAATTTGAGAATGATAAATGAATGTGTAACCCACACACCTGCCCTTTTGATGAATAAAACTAAGGATGTAATGGGTATAGGGTTAAGCAATATTTAAATATACCGCTTTTCATAAACATATTTTAACCTATGCAAGACAGAGGTCTTCAGCAGTTGCGATACAGCTACTGTCCCCTGCAAGCTTGTGCAGGTATAATGGGAATCAAACCCTGCAAGTTTGGACAACACTTAAAATATTCCAAATGGACTTTCCAACTGCCAAAATTTGGAAAACCATTCTACTAATTTTTCCTTTTTTTGCACCTGAAAAATGCATCTGAAAAACCTCTTAATTCCTCTCTCCCTTCCTGTGAGGTTTTTTTTTTTTTTTTTTAAATTCTTGCAGGTATGTCTGATGCTGGGAAAACTTTGGCTCCTTAATGTCAAAAAGGATGAAATATAACACCCCTGAGAGAAATGAATCTTATTCACACACACACACACACACACATGCACAAACACAAAACCACAAAGGCAACATAATAAGTAATTATTTAGCATGATTCACTCAGTTCTAATTAAAAAAAAAGTGGAGAGGGAATACTTGCGACCATTTTAGCTGCAAAATATTTTTTTGCTAATTGCTAAAAGAATCTCAGTTGTTAAAACAGATTGCAATATGTTAAGATGCCTGCCTTCTTCCAACATAAAGCTGGCAGTGTTGTATGTTTGGATGTGTATTTTTAGATATGTTAAATCACCCCAAAAGCCTTTTAGTATCAGGAATGCCATCAGGGGTAAGACCAAGGCAGAAAACTACAGCCCAACTGAGAAGAATGAGCAGGTAGGTTATCAAGCATAAATCTTAGCTCATTTTCAAACTGATAAAAAAACATGCTGCACATTCATGCTAAAACTAATCCCCTCCGTGCATTGTCTAATTGCATTATTATTTGATGTGCTGCTTTCTGAACATGAATCAAGCATCTTCGGGGATAGCCTGCTATTGGAAAGATTTGGGACTCTGCTTATTTAACATCAAGCATTCAGGCTGCATTCCCAGGAATAAAAATGAGAATACTTGAAAAGCAAGATACATCTTGTCTAGGATCCCTTTCCTACTACAGGATAGATAGTTGTTTTTGAAAACTGGTCTTGCTCTTAGATATAGTTCTGCACATCTACTATTTGCTCCTCAGCAACTGATAATTAGATGTATGTTGTCCTAGAACATAGCAAACCCATTTAGTCATCATGGCTAATAACCACTGACGGCTCACTCTCTTCTTCGGATCGATTTCCTCTCCTCCCGCACTTTAAAGCCAGTAAGCCACTGAACATCTCAGCATCTTATGGCAGAGTATTCCATGAATCAATGTGAGCTGCATGAAGAAGACCTTCCTTTTTGTCCACCCTGAAATTCTTCCCATTTTGGAGCAGGGATTGTTCCAGACTTAAAACTATGTTT